AATCTATTGCTCTGATTACCACGAATCCCTTCAAAAAGCAAATCTTGCCGCAACCGAATTTATTCTGTATTCCTGCTTTCTGTTCCCTGCACTGGTTCCATCAGCTCCCTCTCCCCCCATCTGTCTCTCTCTCTCTTATGCATGAGAGCTTGAGCCTCTCCTATCTTGTCTCTGTGTAACAGGCCTGGCTGCCCTGGAACTAGACCAAGCTGGCCTCGAACTCAGAGACCCAGCTGCCTCTGCCTCCCTGGTGCTGACATTAAAGGCTTGTGTCACCACCTCCTAGCATCCTATCTTTTTTATTAGATCTATAAAAGTCTTCCATTATCATTGTTTTTAATCTTGACCATTTTATGTAGGCGGGTGCTATTTCCTGGCTTTCAGTTCCTTCTTAACTCATAGAGCTTTGACGTTCCTTCAGAAATATCCACCCCAGAAACCATCCTTTTGAAATGCCAATTGTTCGTCTTCTTGCCTCTGTGTGGTGGCAACAGAGGGCAAGGCCTTTCCTTAGCTACATTCTAATCTCCAGGGCTGAAAAAGGCCTGGCCTACAGAAGACGGTCAATAAACTTCAGCTGAATGGATGTATGCAAATTTCCTCAAGTTGGTGTGGAAAAACACATGGGCCTTGCTGACTCAATGTCTGAATACAATGGGGAGCCTTTAAACTCGAAATCAAACACAAATATCATTTACATGGCTTTCCATGTGGGAGGCATAATTGACAGGCAATGCTTCTTGAGCAGCAGAACGTAAACTTATTTACAGCCTGGAATAATTGCCATTAGTCAAGGCACTCACAAGAAAGAGCTGTGTGACTTGTGTTTGTCTGACTTCTGTGGAGTCCTCACCCCACCCTAAACAGTCTAGGAACCAGCGCATAAGAACCACACATCTGAACCAGCTTTCAGATATTCCAGACCTACGCAACAGTCCCAGTTAGTTAGTAGTTAGGTAGGTAGGTAGGTAGGTAAGTAGCAGTCAGTCTTCGGTGTTGGAAGGTAAGGACAAAAGCAGCAGGCTATCAGAGTGAGTTATGGTGTCTGCTGTCACTCTGGGACCAGAACCAAGAGCCAACCAGACACTGTAATAAAGCAAAGAAACCACAGAGAGGGGGAGCAGCCACCACACTCACCACGGGTGGACTTGGATGGAGTTCTTGACCTGCCATCTCACAACCCAGCTTTCAGGCAACACAACAATTGTTTGGAGGGTGAATTTTCACTTGTTTATTCATCTCGACCACAGCCTCCCCTCCAGAGCAGGAATTTTGTTAGTACATGATGGATAGAGAGAGCTCAGAGCATAGGAGGTGGGGCACAAGGAGTAACTGTTGCTAGGGTACAGTTCATTCCCTCACACCGACCGTCTGCCAGTCTGGGAGCCTCGTGCACACATCCGTTCACACTCATTCAGCGCTTACAGAACACACACTGCGTCTCTGGCTTTGTGCTAAGCACAGAACAGAGGCTTATCATGGAGTTTACCTCCTAGAAAGAGAGGAAACAGCAAGAAACACAAACATACACGAATAAACAGCAGCCGACTCAGAGACAGGGGTGCTGATGCGAGGTACAGATAAGAGTCGGAGGGTGATGGGACCACACAGCGACAGAAATCTCACTGATAAGATGCGTGTTCGTGCAAAGAGCACCCTGGGTGGGAGTGGGGGTAGCTGATGAAGAGACGTCTTGGCTGAAAAATTGCAGACTCTGGGAACACAGGCTCAATCTGGTCCTGGCTTCGCTTCCTTTCTTTCTCATGGAGCCACAGATGAACTCCTGGGGTTCCTCTGGTCACAAGGCAGCATACAACACCTTGCCAGAGTGAAGGACGAGGAATGGGTGATGAGGGGTGGCCTCCAAAAAAATATAAGCTTGTGTAAGGAACAGCAAAAATGTCCTCCCACTGTAACTGATGCAAGAGCTGGTGCATATCCCCCTCAGCATGAATGCAGGGGCATGCTGGGTAAATGAAAGGCTTGGTTGGGGGGAAAGTCCGTGGCAGGAGGGGGAACTTGGCTCCCTGCAGGGGTAGGAGCGGAAACACAGAGAGGTGGAGAACAGGGATTGGGGCTGGCTACCTCAGCACCCTACAAAGTGAGGTGAAAACACACTCATGCCCATACCCAGACCTATGGCAGGCAGAATTTAGAGACTGTGGGTCCTATAATGTCTAACACTAAAGACTGCAGGGCATAGTGGCACAGGGCTTTAAACCCAGCCCTTGGGAGGCAGAGCTCTGTAAATCTGAGACCACCCTGCTCTACAGATGAGTCCCAGGTCAGTCACTGCTACATAGTGAGACCCTGTATCAAAAGAAGAACTTAGCTTAGGTCAACAAGACGGCCAGTGGAAGCCCCTACTTTTAAGCCTGAGGACATAGGTTCAATTCCAGAAAGCCACATGGTAAAAAGAAAGCCAATTCCTACAGTGTCCTCTGTGTCCTCTGACGCTCACACACATTCACACATACGTTTATTTTAAATGTACAATGAACTTTAAAGAGGCCTGGGTCTCAGTTTCTCATTCAAAAACTGAAGGTCACTGACTAGCGGTAACAACAGACACTGGTGGAGATTTGGGAACTGTATTTTGGTTGTTGTTAGATTTATCTGACTGTGTGTCTAAATTTCTGAGTGTTTCGCCTGCATGGATATGTATGCACCATGTGCATACCTGGTGTCCAGGGAGGACAGAAGAGGCTTTGGATGTGCTAGAACTAGATCACAAATGCTTATGAGCCGCCACGTGGGTGGCTAGGAATTGAACCTAGGTGTTCTGTGAGAGCGGAGGCTATCAAAAGGCCTAACCACTGCGCCATCTCCAGCCAGGAATGTGGGTTTGTTTATTTGTTTGTTTGTTTGAATCTTGACTGAACCTCCAGTTGCATAGTTTTTCCCTGAGCAATTTTCAGGCTTAAGTTAGACTCGGAGGGAGATTAGGCTCTGGAAGCATAGGAACAGATTCTATGCCTTGATCTCAGGCTGGAAACAAGCAGCCTAGCCTCCCATGAAGCTTTTTGTTAAATGTCATCTTAAAGAGTGTGTGTGTGTGTGTTTACACGTGCAGGAGTGTGCATACGCACGTCTTTTTGCACCCACACTCTGCACTCACACACATGTGAGGCTCTCTAGGGGAAGAAAGGCTGAAGGCAAACGGGAGGTAATAAAGAAGAGATTTATCTGAAGGACCCGAGAGGCGGGAAATTACTGCAGTCCCTGAAAACTTAACCCCATACCAGTGTCAGCGCGGAATAGGCAGGCAAGCCAGCAAGACGCCTCGATTACTTGTCTTATTTGAACTGAGCCCATATTTCTATTTAATTGCTTCTCTCATTTTCTTGGGCAATAATTATAAGACTAACTTTTCAAATAAAATAAAATTGCTCCTCCGCTCGCTGCACAGGCAGTTACAGAACAGGTTAGGACGAGTTCCCCGGTCCTTTGTCCCAGAGCACTGGGTTAGGAAGACAGTTCTTACCCCAGCACTTGTACTGACTTCGAGGACAGTCACCTCACATGGCAGATCCTTCTCCCTGCCTCAGTTTCCTGTGTGTCTCTCTCCATCCACTCAAGCCCTTGTGTGTGGGGATGAGGGAAATGAGGAATGGGAGGAGCTTAACCATTCTACAGGCTGTATGCAAATTAGTTTCAAAATGCCCTCTAGTGACCCTCTAATCTAGTCACTAGCTTATCTCTGCCATCTGGTCATCTGGTCCAGGGAGCTACTAAGGGTGGGTACCACAATAAAAAAAAATCTACAAAGCCCTGTTCCATTGTTTAGGAAATGAAAGCAAGCATCCTTTTACCAGCTTAATACTATGTGATATCCAGTGAAAATCTGCCTTCTGCCTTCCTTCACTGAGACCATAGCCTTAGTCTAAAGAAAGGGTTATGACCATAAATACAAGAAAATGTGATTTGCTTTATTTTTTCTGTGAATAATATTACTAAACCCATGTATTACTGTCTATACGTTCATGAAATTTCCGGTTGTTTTGAAATCTATTTCATTTCTCCAGCTCTCCTCTGGGTCTAGAAGCTTATCTTCACAAATTCCATCTCTGGGGCCCTGTGCCCCCTGGCATTGGGTTCGATCTCACCAGTGAGAAACCCAGGTGCGGAGCTCAGAAGCAGGAAACTCTGGGCACTTCTCCAGGTTGGCACCGAGCTTGCGGCTGGCAGCAGTTCCTCTGGGTTCCACCTCCCAATGGAAAGCTGCTTCCTCTGTGGTCCCCACTCCCACTGGGTGGCTCCCCTTTGATTCCCCAATCCCTCAGATACTATCAGGATTGCCTCCCAATACTCCATCCTTTCCAAACTTGGCAAGGAACTGCTTGACTACTTGGCAAGATGTCTGCCTTTCTGTCTGGACCCTGGGGAGATGGTGCTGTCTGGAAGCCTCCTTGGTCTCTAGAGAGCAGACATTGCGTTTAGGAGCAGACAATAAACTCAGCAGGCTCATTTCTTCTGGCCTGGTAGGTAGGCCAGGTCTCTCAGATCTTCTGACCACCTATTCTCGCAGTGGGTACATGTGGGAATGAAAAGGACTTGGAACAGAGCTGCAGAGTCACAAGACAGACAGACAGACAGACACACACACACACACACACACACACACACACACACACACACTGCCCTGAGGGGTCTTGATCCTCATGGGCCTGAGCTTTATCATGGAGAGGGGATAAGAGTTTATCTGACCTGCTCACGGCCTGTTTGGCACAAACACGGGCACGGAAATGTTTTGGACACTGTCATGATTCTCGCAAACACATTACTGTTAGTATGTAAGTTGAATTTGTTGGAAGGGAAATGCCTTGTTCTCTTCTCAGCCCGACTGATTTTCAGTCTGACGTGTGTACTAACCATATTATCACAGGTAGCATGCATGATCCCTGCAGGCAAAGCCCTGCAGGAGTCTCTGCTGTGGTCACTGTACTGGGCTCCGACTGGCAGCCTGCTAGCTTGCCGGAGCCTAGAGTCAGGCAACTCACCAATGTCCAGGACCCTCTGCTTGGCTGTGTGCTGCCGGGAATGCCAGTATTTCCAGTATTTCAGCTGCTCATCTCGGTTCTTGTCCTCACTGAAGACTACCATCACCACACTCTGCAGGGGAGAAGAGCCGCCGTTACCCTCTCGTTCAGCATCCCACTACGTCACACAGTCCCCACTCTGGCAGTGCTACCATGGGTATGTTTCTAGAATGTACCTTTTATTGTTTAAGAAAGTACAGAGAGCTGGGCACAGTGGGGCTCTGGTCTTTAATCCCACACCCGGGAGACAAAAGCAGGCAGACTCCTGAGTTTGAAGTCAGCCTGGTCTACAGAGTGAGTTCTAGGACAGCAAAGGCTACACAGAGAAACCCTGTCTCGAGGAATAAACAAAACAAAACAAAACAAAAATGACCAGAGAATAGGGCAATGAGATACCTCAGTGAGTTAAGACGTTTGCTACCAAGCCTAGCAACCTGAGTTAGACTTCACAGACCCAGAGGGTGGAAGGAGAGAACCAACTTCCACAAGTTATCCTCTGTGTGGGCCTTACACGTGTACACACCCCCCACACACACAAACTACAAACAGCACAGAGGAGCAGAACCCGTATTCTTCCTGCACCATCACAAACAATCAGACGAAGCAATCCGGCAGCTTTGCTATTTTGAGTGATTCGCTAGAGCACCAATGGGCATTTGGTTTGCCCTGGGAATCAACTCATCTGAAAGCTTCTGTCTTAGAAGGAACTGGTGTCCTCTAAAGCAGCAGACATCCGTCTCTCGACTAGAAGAGCCTCCGGCTGGAGTGCAGCAGATAATGGAGGGTTACACAGGAAATATAGAAATGCTAGGAGACAACTCACACTGATCAACAGAGATTTAAAACCCCAGATAGTTTATAACACGTCAATAAAATGTGATTGTTCCTTATGTGAGCTAGAGAACTAATTCTTATCTCACAGAAATAAGAATCCAAACTTCAACTCAGTTCTAAATTACCAACAGACTCATTAAACTGAATTTATATATATTCACTGTCATTTCTGGAGTGCAGGCGGCAATCCCCGTCTCAGCCTCCGGAAAGATGGAATTATAGGTATGTAACCAAACTGGTTCAGATAACATTTTCAATCAAAATGGAACAAAAGGAGATAAAATTTGCATATTAACCAATTTTTTTGTTTTGTTTTGGATTTTGGATGTTTTTATTTGTTTGGTTCGTTTTGGTTTTTTGAGACAGAATTTTTCTGTGTAGCCCTGTCTATCCTAGAACTTGCTTGAGGCCAGCCTGGTCTATAAAACTTGAACTTTCAGAGATCCATCTGCCTCTGCCTCCCAAGTACTGGTATAAGAGGTGTGCACCATCATACCCAGCATAAAATTTCCATATTAAAGGACTTCATGATCCCATCAAAGTGGACCTGTTGGGAGACTATTGTCCCTTCCTTAGATGGCTGCCACCATTTCAGAGTGTTTAAACGATACTGTGTGGAACTCATGCATATATGGTTATATTCTTGCCTGGAACTTAAGACTTCTTAAAGGAAAAACAAATGCATCCCAGGTATTCTTCCAAGACACCCATGTCTGGATGGAGAACTCTGGGAGAATTTCTCTGTTTTTCCTTCCTTCAGGAAGCTCCAAGGAACAGTTTCTAGTCATAGTTGGTTTTCTTGGTGGTACTGGGGATGGAGCCTAAAGCCTCCCACAGACTAGAACTAGACAACCCCAGCACAATGCAACCCCCTCATGCTTAGAAGAGTTAGAGTCAGGAAGCTGGCACCCACGCCAGAGGCCCCTCCCATCTTAACTATCGTCACTTATTAGCTTCTGAAAGCCAAGTTTTCTTACATGTCATATTACAACAGTACAATGAGCTCATTATTATTAAAAAGGGTCATGGTTAGTTTCAATAAGTTATTGGATATGTGGTATCTATACAGTCCCTCATACGGGGAAGACACTGTCACCGTGGGACCTCTTCATGCAGTGTCCTCCACCCTGGCTCTGCCATAGGGTTGGAACATGTCAATGTTCCTCACAACGGCTAGTGTCCTGCACCTTGCGACCTCCAATGGGCTCACCGTGCAGTAGGCATGCAGTGGGAGCACTGTGCCCAAGACGCGCTACAGCTCCCTACTTCTCAAGCTGAAATGCTTAGTAGGACTTAGCGAAGGACAGAACACAGTGGGCTGAGACTGCTGGTACAGCAGCAAGAAGCGGCATAGCACAGACCAGGAAAACCTATTCTGCAGGAAACCCTTCCTAAAGCCCGCAGTAACTTTCCTTTCAAGTAGAGACGGATTAGCTGACCCCTCCCTGTTGGCAGTGGTGGGAATACCAGATACTGGCAGGCTCCCAAAGCAGACAGCAAGGACTCTGGTGTCGTTTCCCACAAATGAGATTCATACTCATGAACCTGAAATCCCTCCAAGCTACTGCTGGCGGGGATGGGAGCTCATCTTGTGAATTCTGTGTAAGCCGAGGGCTGTAGAAGGCTTTGGGAGACTTGTAAATGGTCCAGGACTCAGCAGGAAATATTCTCAGCTACCCTGCACCCACAAATATCCTGATTTATAGGCCAACTGAAAGCAGCTACACAGCCTACAAGCCGGGAATGAGGTAAGAGGAATTCCTTGGATACGATGAAAAAGCATGTTCAACCAAGTTGCTCCCCTGGGGTTTATTGGTTACTGATTAAAATGATAAACTGGGAGCCAATAGGTTCTCTTGCACCAAACTTTCTGAGCTATTTATTTTGGAATTTTTTTTTCCATGCCATTCCACAAGGATATGAGGAGTAATTCCAGCCCTCCGGCTACCCCATACTTTTGAGAAATGCGGCCCATACCCTGACTTTGCTGATGGGGTGTCGGAAGCATTTGTTGTCTCCGGTCTCACTGAGGGTTATGGCATAGAACTGTCCTTTGTTGAGGTAGGTCATGGGGCCCTCCCCCTGCTTCTGACGGAGAGATTTGGTGGCTTCCAGGGTGTACTGAAACGTCCCGCTGTGAAGAGAGAAGAGCGGTCAGCGCAGGCATGTGAATGTTCCGGCCTCACATAGACAGAACTTTACACGAATATTAGCAAACATTTACTCTACATTACAGACAAAACACGCAATATAGCAGCAGAAATGAGTCCAGACCAAGGGTCAGTGCTCTATAATATCCACAGCATTTTTAACCATGGCTCATAAACCAGATGGTTTAAGTGGGGAGAAAGTCCAGGATGTGCTGGGCAAACTCATGCCAGAGAACCATGGGCAGATCTTGGGACTCAGCTTAAGAACAAGTCAGACACCAGTGTTTCTCTTCAGTTTATGTATTTGCCCAGTTTTCTTCATATCTAGCCACAACTTACCCCAAAATATCTCAGAATATGAAAAGCCCACATTCAAACGTTCACTACTAAGCATTCTTCTCCCTCTCTTACAGGGGGTGTTTTCATCTCGTTTGGTTTGCTTTACAATAAAGGGGCTTGAACCCACAACCTCACACATTCCAGGACAGTGTCCTATCACTGAGCTACATCCTCATTTTAAGAAGAGGTCTTGCTGGAGATTAGGCTGCCCTGGAAGTTGGTTGTGATCTTCTACCTCAAACTTCTGGACAGGCATCGTAGGCACGTGCCACAAGAGCTGGCCATTTCTTGTTTACAGACCTGCAGAGGGATTCACAGTGAGGCTACTCCAAACTGGGCTTGCAGATGATGGCTTGCGAAAACTGGTGTACTGGCTGCCTTTGCAAACAAGGTTTTATTGTAACACTAGGGTCTGGTGTTTGCTGTCTAGCTCATTGCAGAAAGAGCTGCAGATCTCTGCTCAAATAAAATTTCTTATTTTTTTTAAATATTTATTTTATTTATTTATTATGTATATAATATTCTGTCTGTGTGTATGCCTGCAGGTCAGAAGAGGGCACAAGACCCCATTACAGATGGTTGTGAGCCACCATGTGGGTGCCGGGAATTGAACTCAGGGCCTTTGGAAGAGCAGGCAATGCTCTTAACCACTGAGCCATCTCTCCAGCCCCCTAGAATTTCTTATTTTTAAGCTACTGTCTATAAAACAAAACACATTGACTTTTTCTAATTCTGAAGACTATATCAATTGTTTAAACTTAATATAATAGGCTCGAACCATATCTTTTCCGTTTGATTTGTCCTTCCAGAAAGGCTTGTTTCGGTTTCACTGTGGGATAATGCCCAGAAGACGGCATAATAAACTCGCCGTGTGACTCGCTGGTCCCTCTCCTCTGCTCAGTTATGCGGCCCACTCATCCCTCGGTCTCCAGAAGGCAGGGGCCACTCAAACACAAACTCACTAACAGGATTAAGGGAAGTCTACTTTCCGTGTTAAATTCTTTTGAAATGTTTTATTTATATTTTAACTTTTAGAGTAAGAAATCATTTAACTTTTTTTTTTAATTTCTCTTATTTGATAAAAACCTGAGGGTTGGTGTTGGAGAGATGGTTCAGTGGTTAAGAGCACCGCTCTTCCAGAAATCCCAGGTTTGGTTCCCAGCACTCACATGACAGCTCACAACCATCAGTAACTCTGGCTCCAGACCAGGGGAAATCCCTCCTCTGGCCTCTATGGGAACCAGGTACACAAGTGGTGCCCTGTATACGTGCCGAGAAAAGACCTGACACATAAAGTCATAGAACAGAACGGTAAAGGCTGTCAGTTACATGCCTCCTGGTGACCTACCTTGATGCCTGGTCATACATGTAATCCTCAGCTCCGACAGAAGCACTCCGAAATTTCTGAAAATTTTAAATTATACAATTAAAACAAATAGGCTGGGAATATATGTAAACAATAAAAAACAAAAACCAAATGTAAACAATAATGTAGAAGCAACTATATCCTATTCCCATTTCACCCTCTCCTGGAGAGGGAAGATTAGCGTGTTCCCAAGATATCTGCAAGGGTCCTGTGTCTTCAAACATATAAACCATTTTTTTTTCAATTTTCTGTTTTTCCTAACACTTTATTTCAACTGCTACAAATACAAAATCAGTGGAAAACTAATTACAGACAAAATGACACACCCAAGGCTGCTAATAGGTGCTTAAAAGCACAGTTTCCAGAGTAGGACCATCAAGGATCAATTTTTAGCTAATTTACCTGACACATGAAAGTGTGTGGTATTTTCTCTGTTAAGGATGACTCCTCATAAACCTGGTGGTGGTGAGGCCAGCCTGGTCTACAGAGCCAGTTCCAAGACAATCAGGTCTACACAGAGAAACCCTGTCCCCTTACCTGCCCCCCAAAACGTCTGTTCACTGTGTGTGATCACATTAAACAGACTGGCAGAACACTGAAAGTGTGATAGGTAAGCACGAACATTTTGTGTGTGTGTCAGATCCTAGTAAATAGTAACATGCTGACTGAACCCAGTCTTCTAACCACCTCTCCTGGCAGATGTTCTCAGAGACTTTGAGAGGCGGCTCTAAGTTAGTGTTACACCAACAGCAGCCGCGTGTGCGTGTGCGTGTGCGTGTGTGTGTGTGTGTGTGTGCGCGCGCGCGCACTGCTACATTGACACAGTTTCAGATTTTAATGCTAAGAGAAGTGAGACAGCTCAGTATGTGAAGGGTCTTGTCCACAAACCTGAGGGCCTGAGTTTGATACCCAAAGATCACACAGCAGAAGGAGAAGACTAACATCTGTAAGTTTTCCTCTGACCTCCCCACACACCATGGCCCATGATCACACACAAGAACACACACAGTATTGGCATAAGAACAGACAGGAGGACCAATGAAACAGAATAGAAGACCCAGATATCAATCCACACATCTTCAAGCACCTGATCTTTGATAAAGAAGCAAAAAATATCAAAAGGAAAAAAGAAAACATATTTAACAAGTGGTGCTGGCATAAGAGGATATCAATATGTAGAAGAACGAAAATAGACCCATATCTATCACCATGCACAAAACTGAAGTCCAAATGGATCAAAGACCTCAACATAAAGCCAGCCACACTGAACCTTATAGAAGAGAAAGTGAATGCATTGGCACAGGGAACCACTTCCTAAATAGAACCCCAGCAGCACAGACACTGAGAAACAATAAATGGGACCTCCTGAAACTGAAAAGCTTCTGTAAAGCAAAGGACATGGTCAACAAGACAAAATGACAGCCTACAGAATGGGAAAAGATCTCCACTAACTCCACATCAAACAGAGGTCTGATCTCTGATATACAAAGAACTCAAAAAATTGGACACCAAAAGAACACATAATCCAATAAAAAAAAAAAAAATAGAGTACAGACCTAAACAGAGAACTCTCAACAGAGGAATCTAAAATGGCTGAAAGACACTTAAGGAAATGTTCAACATCCTTAGTCGTCAGAGAAATGCAAATCAAAACAACTCTGAGATTCCATCTTACACCTGTAAGAATGGTCAAAATCAAAAAACACTGATGACAACTTATGCTGGAGAGGTTGTGGGGGAAAGGGAACACTTCTGCATTGCTGGTGGGAACGCAAACTGGTACAACCCCTTGGGATGTTAGTGTGGCAATTTCTCAGAAAATTAGGAAACAACCTTCCTCAAGACCCAGCAATACCACTTTTAGATATATATCCAAAGGATGCTCAATCGTGCCACAAGGACATGTGCTCAACTATGTCCATAGCAGCTTTGTTTATCATAGCTGGAAACAACCTAAGTGCCCCTCAATCAAAGAATGAATAAGGGAAATGTGGTACATTTACACAATGGAGTACTACACAGCAGAAAAAAATAATGACAGCTTGAATTTTGCAGGAAAATGGATAAAGCTAGAAAACATTATTTTGAGTGAGGTAACCCAGACACAAAGGAACAATTATCACATGTACTCATTCATAGGTGGTTTTTAAACATAAAGCAAAGAAAGAAAACACAATCCCAGAGAACTTAGACAACAATGAGGACACTAAGAGAGACTTACATAGATCTAATCTACATGGGAAATAGAAAGTAGAAAAAGACAAGATCTCCTGAGTAAATTGGGAGAATGGGGACCTTGGGGGAGGGTTGAAGGGGGAAGGGGAGAGGCAGGGAAGGGAGCAGAGAAAAATGTAGAGTTCAATAAAAAAAAAAAGGGGGACACATACACAAACTCTTGACCTATAAATCAAATATAATATGGGTAAAGGGCATGCATACATGTTGTCCACACATACATACATACAGTCCTTCCTCTCTGACCCTGTGAGTCATCTGTTTGTGGAACCTTCTCCTTTCTCTCATCTCTACTCTTTGTCCAAATGCTCTTCAGAGCCCCCACCCATCATGTCCAGAATTCAGCATCATCTTCCCCTGTAGTTTCTGTTGGTATACTACAATCCTTCTCATCTAGTCTTATTCCTCAGACCCAGTAAGATGGGCTTCCCTCAGAGTTTTCCCACCCACATGAGCTCTGCACACAGTACAAGAGTTGGTCGACTGAACAATCATGGCGGAGAATCGAATGCACTGCTTTGTTTCTTTCGCCATCGGTCAGTCTGCAAGCCCTTCCGTGAGAATTTCCTAGAGCTTTACCATCTGCTTGGTGCTAGAAGACATATAGAAAATATATAAAATACCATCTTGGCCTCAAGAAAAAAAATGGTTGAGAACATATTTACATAAAAAGCAACAACAAAGTAAACTAAAATACAGCAACCAACTGTGCATGCAAGTCCATGGTGAATATCTCATTCATTCATGTGTCCTAGAGGAAGAAGTCCATGTGAATCTCTCATTCATTCATGGATCCTAGAGAAGAAGTCCATGGTGAATCTCTCATTCATTCACGTGTCCTAGAGCAAGAGGATAGAGTGGGCCTTACCAGGGAGAAAGAGAAAGTCTACAGAGAATCCACCATCTGTGGGCTTTGGTGGACAAACGCAGCTAAGAAGGGAATTCAGATAAAAGGGAGCCACCTGAGTCAAGGTGAGGCGATGAGTATAAACATGGAACAGTAAGGTTAAAAAAATGCCCAGATAAACCATTATGCAACAAAAAAACTTCCCAAATACCCTTGAGTTTGTTTTGAGTTGGCTAGGCACATGGCCTGCCCTTATGTACGGTTTGTATACACAGTATCATAATTTTTTTTTTTAAAGAAAACATCCGTGGACAAACTAAGAAGGGGAAAACTCATGGTCTAGATGGTCACAGTCCACTGCAGTAGACATATGTGCTGTGTAAACCTAAGTTAACAAACACTCAAATGCTCCGTTACTCAGCCAGCTAGCCACATTTCAAACACTAAGTTGTTAAATCTGGCTGTCGACTTAGCCTATTGGAAGGCACGGAAAAAAGTGTTAATTGTTGCCGAAAGTTCTGTTCAGCTGGACTGGTCTATGGCTCAGAATTAGGAAATTGTGATGTGGGCGCGTACCCTGTTGTTTTCCAAGGTGTTTGAGGAAGTGGCTTTGGATAGGAAGGATGATTTCCAAGGTCTGAGCTTCAAGGTCACCGCAACAATCGCAGCAACCAAGGGAGTCATTGTTAAGGAGCATGGCTGTATGAATCTTTCCATGCTCTGGGCTTAGTGGCCTAAGGAGATGGGACAGGGGGCTGCACACACTGGACTTGTGAAACCCATGTTTTTACTCTCCCAGGTGGTGTGGGAACATACGATACTGTGAGAACTTATCTCACTGTAATAAAAGCAGGCCAACACCAGAGTTCTGTTCCAGTTCTTAAATGTCTATGTGTAAGAAAGCGGACGCCACCTATGTGATCATCTTTCCTCATCGTTAATTTTTCTTTGATTCTTTTATATTATCTTTATAGTATTTTTTTTAACTAAGTAGACAGTCCCCTTAGAAAACATCACCATCATTTAGATGTTCACTTGGTACGTGGCATGGGCCTAGATGATTTAGGGTTGAGAATTAGGGCCCAAATGCTTAATTAGGCTTTCTGACCACTGTTGTCAGGGGCCTCCACTCCACTCAGAGCCTTTCAGTACTGCGTATAGCATCATAAAAAGGCCAGCAGACACAGACCGCTGCACCCCGCCACAGTTTCATGCAAAACAGTTACTGATTTCTTACTCATCTGGACTCGGTAAAGAAATGATGATACTGTGTATACAAACCGTACATAAGGGCAGGCCATGTGCCTAGCCAACTCAAAACAAACTCAAGGGTATTTGGATTTTTTTTTTGTTTGTTTCATAATGGTGTATCTGGGCATTTTTTTTTAACCTTACTGGCCCTTTGCTTACATATTATAGTTTCCAATTTGGTATTTTTATGGAGAGCGAGTGTGTGTGGGTACGTGTGTGTGTGTGTGTGTGTGTGTGTATGTTCGCTTCTCTTGCTTTTCCTTTGGATTTTTTTCCTCTTATTTATTTGCTGTTTTATTCTGGATTGTTTTATTTGCCCATTTCTTTACCTCTTTTTTTTTTAAAAGATTTATTATGTATACAGTGTTTTGCCTGCTTGCATCCCTGCCCACCAGAAGAGGGCACCACATCTCATTACATAAGGTTGTGAACCTCCATGTGGTTATGGGAACTGAACTCAGGACCTCTGGAAGAATAGCCGATGCTCCCAACCATTTTGGATGGGGAGGTAGAGTGGATCTGGGAGAAGATGAGGGAGGGAACCACGATCAGAACATACTGGATGAAAAAAATATATTTTCAACTAAAAAGTGTGAGAACATAGATAAGGTCCTCACACACCAGCATATTTAAAATGGCTGTTAGCATTCTGGTTTTGTTCTTGAGATGAGAGGCAAAGAGAAGACATATGCTAAGAATATAATACCACAATAAGGCAAGCATTATCTGTGGGGAAATCTGAGTCAGTTAAACAGAGCTTTGTCTTTCCTCGCTGGTTTCAACTTTCTCGTTCGTTCAATCATTTGCCTGACTGTGCTAAAGACTCTCTTCACGCCAGCTGGTGAGCCACGCGTGAAAGGTGCTGTGTTAAACAAGACCAGAGCAGGTCCCATCTTCATGAATGTTTCTAGAAGGACAGAGCATGCATCATACTCTTGCAAAAAGAGAAAGAAAAATCCAAGGCTAGGATGTCACTCAGTGGTAGCACAGTGGCTCAGTAGTTGTAGGCCAAGTTCAGTCCTCATTACGAACTGTGCTATCACCGTGTTAGAGCCGGCATGTTCTGTGAGAGCATGTCACAGCCCAGGAGAACCATACCCTGTCCTGACTTCCCAGCCACAATGCTCCTGGTGTAACACAGACAAGGCTGACAAAGAAGGCACCATCCTCTGCTGAACCCCACATTCACAGTATCACAGCTACCAACGTGAGCCCCAGCTCCTCTGAGTAACTGTAGCTTTCTGAGCAGACACCCTGGGCCTGCCATGTTGGACTCGTAGATCTACGATCTGTATATCACAGATCATGGGCTCACAGGTCATTCAGTTCAATTCACACCAGTGGAAAAACATCTACAAAGCAAACTCTGCCTTCTCTGACTGGAGGGAGCAGAGCTAGCTTCTCTTTTGCATCCAGGGAATTTGCTAACTCAAGGACTCCAAGAAGCTCCAGGACAACAGCTTCCTTTACACCCGTCTTCATCTGAACCACACACAAATCTGACCACAGGTCTCCCAGAAAGTGTGGCCGTTCCCTGGTCCACATCCACACACTCTGTGACTGACATATCTCTACACCAATGGCAATCCACACATAAAAAATCCTGGGCTTCCCAGGGGACTGAGCGATGGCCTCGGCTACCTGCTTTTCTCCAGCAGTGCTCCTGGGCTCCTGGGAGCAAGAACCCAACAGTATCAGACTACAAGATTCCTGACTCAGATTAAAACTACAAAAGGCTGTTGTTGACCTTAAGTGATGTCACATAAGCTGGTTGGCAGATTTTTTTTTCCTTTTTATTACAAGGTCATTAAAAGTCTAGTTGTAAAACTACCAAATTCAAGGAAATGTGATCGCCCCTCAGGGCAAAGAATGGCTTAGCTCTGACTGAGGTCACTCCCGAGTTCAGACACTGTGACAGGAACCCACAAGCATCCGGTGCCAGCCGTGGCAGGGTTGCTAGTGTCTCTTTGAGAGCAACTGCTGCTGGCCAACCTGTTGTGCTCTGGTCCCTACCTGAAAGATAAGCAATATCTATTGGATAGATAAGGAACATTCAGATTTTAAACAAACATTGCGTGGGTCATTGTCTTATGCAATAGAATTAATGAGAATCTCAAAGCAACACTTCTCCGAGGAGACAAGTGAACAGTTTGCCTGGTTGCTGCAATGACCACTCCTCCTAAGAAAACACAGATGACAATCCCAAAACGGTTGTCACTTAGAATGCTGCTGCTGTGGTGTGGCTGTGCCCCTTAAGGCTCATGTCTAAGAACTTGAGCCCCAGCACAGGAGTCTTAGGAAGTGGTAGTGATATCTCACTTATATTCTAATAAATAAAGCTTGCCTGAGGATCAGAGAGTAAGACAGCCCCACTGGTCAGCCTTTCAGGCCAGGCAGTGGTGACACACACCTTTAATCCCAGTAGCGACACTAGTTGCCATAGAAACCGGATGGTAGTGGTGTATGCCTTTAATCCCAGCCCTAGACAGGAATATAAAACGGGAGGAGACAGCTCTCAGACAGTCTCATTCAGAGGATTGAGGCAAGATCGTCATTTTGGACTAAGGCAGAGGTAACAGCCAGTGGCTGTTTTGCTTTTCTGACCTTCAGGCAAGCTTTATTTGCTAAAATCCAGATGAAATATCACTACAGATGGGTCATATAAACTAGCCTCCAGTACGAACGGTGAGCTCATTATGGCCAGGACAGGGCTGTAGTGAAAACGAATTTGTCATCTGTCACGGGCATGTAGCCCTTCCCCCGCTTCTGCCTTGTAACAACAATCATCATCAGATGGGGCTCATAGCTCTTAGGTGTCTCTGTCCCAACAGCACTGAACAGGAAGCCAGATGAGGACACTTGGCATGCTGTCAATGCACTTGCTTCTCTCAGGGAACCAGCAGTCTCTGCACACCCTGCTTTAGAGGCCCAGGAAAGCTAAAAACCAAAAAGCCAATGCCATTCATTTCTCACCAGAGGCACCGCTCAGATGTGACAAAGCCCATGTTCATTGCAGAGCCTAGGTCAAGAACTGGAGACGGCGCCTACCGTGATATCCTCAATGGATAACCCAAGATTCCATGGCGAGTGAATGGACACAGAATCTTTCCAAACTTAGTAAATGTGCTGAACAACTAGGTATCAATATACACACGGGAGCCCTGCCTTGCTTCATACCATGTCTAAAACAGACATGGCTCAGCAGAGAGGGTCTGACAAGCTGCATTCAGTCTTCAAGATCCACGTGACGGAAAGACAATGTGACGCAGGAAAGCTGTCCTCTGACCTCCATTGGCATGTGCACACACAAATGAACTCAAAATAATAATAACTAAACCAGGTGAAGACAGCATCCACCTTTAATCCCAGCACTCAGGAGGCGGAGGCAGGTCAACCTCTGGGTTTGAAGCCAGCCTGGTCTACAGAGCAGGTTACAGAATGGCCAGAGTTACACAGAGAAACCCTGTCTCAAAAAGCCTAATAATAATAATAATAATAATAATAATAAATGCAAATTTAGAGCCAGACATATTGTTGCATGCTTTTAGGCTTAGTGCTTGAGAAGCAGAGACAGGTAGATATCTCTGTGAGTTTGAGGACAGTCTGGGCTACATATTGAGTTCCAGGATAGTCAGCGCCACATAGACCCTTTCTTCAAAAGATAGATAGATAAATAAAATCAGAAAAAAATTATAAAATTTTTAAGTGGATCAGAAATCAACATCTAAAAGGGGAAAGTACTAGCTATCTAGAAATACATACAAGAGAATTGCTGAGACATTGGTTTAGAGACATGAGAAAATTGTTGAGACATTGGTTTAGACACACACAAGAAAATTGTTGCCACATTGGTTTAGCTGCACATAAGAAACGTGTTAAGGCATTGATGACAAAAGACAACATTTAAAAGAATAAACTATAAGACAAATTTGATAAGATAAATTTGATCTGATTATATGATGCAAAGACTCATTAAAGCATACAGATGATAGTGACTTATATCCATTCCCCTAACCTAAAGAACTCTTTACAGTTTAATAAAAAAAAAAAAAAAAAGTTGCCAAAGACTTGAACAGACACTCCACATAAGATAAAAGGCAAACAATTACACGAAACAGTACTCAGACTCAGGGGACAGCATAGTAGTGCAGACGATTGGAAACAGCAGAAAGAACAGACGCCACCGAGCCAATTTCTAAACCAGCTGCAGTTAAGCAGACTAGTCATATGGGCATGCAGTGTCGAGAGCAGGAAAACCCTGTATCACTGATGGGAGTGAAAATAACTCATAAGCGCTATATTTTATCTATGCACCTCATAAAACCCACAACCACCTCACAGTCCAGCAGTCAACTCCAGCCCTAGACACCCGCCAGAAATGAAGGACCACACTCACTAAAACATACACCTGCCTGTTCAGCAAAGCCTTCATCATGATAACCCCAAACTGGAAGCAACCAATACCCACTTACTAGCGGACTGGTCAATAAACCGTGATATGTACTCACCTAGGAATACTGGTCAGAGATTTAAAGACACAGACTGCTTACAGACAAGCAAAAATAAATCCAAAAATATGCTAAATGAAAGAAGACAATATAAAAGAATATAGTGCATTCACCTTCCATGGAATTTTACAGGAAGGAATGCTACAGTGACAGAGGCCGATTAGCAATTGCCAAGAGCCAGGAGAAGGAATGTTTCAAGGTCAAAGAGGTTCATTTTAGGGTAAAAACTTTCTACACTGTGCCTCTGACATTGACACCCAACTGTAAATAATTACTAAAATTCTACATTTATGCACTTAGAACTTGAGAATCTAAAACATGTAGATAAACAAAACGGTTGTGCTGTGATGTGTTTGAGCCCCAGAAGCCTCTCAGCTCTCTATTTGTTACAAAGTATACACGCATAAACACTGGATTATTGAAAACACAACCAACTTCCAGAATATTCAAGCGGACAAAAGCTGCAAAGAGCTACACTGTCTAAAAAAAAAAAAAAATGGCATGCAACATTTTTAGCTCTACCATCTGGAAAGTTCCAAAGAGCTGAAGGTGAGAACTGCACAGCATAAGCTTCTCCTAACCCCACATAAATAATTAAGATTTAAAGCAAAACAAAATATAATCTAAGAGACGAGACAGAAATATTCCTCTACGTATTTAAACATACCAAATTACCGGCAAACGCTCCATTTCATGCAGCCCCTTAAATGGAGAACGAGTATGCTGTGTGTTCTGGGACTCACCTCGGGCGCCCCGTCCTTGAAGCTCTCACTGTAGGTGCTGTCGGGGGTGCTGCGCTGGTCGTCCTTGAGATAGGAACTGTGGCAGGCTACGGAGGGCAGGTCGTACTGCGTCTGTTCGAAGATGACCACGCGCTGCTCCTCGCCGTCCGCGCGGGGATAGTGCACCGGAGGCGCCACGAACACCGGCGTGAAGTCCTCGGCTTTGACCACGGTGATGCCTGACACCGGGATGACGGCCGGGCTCTCGCTGATGGACACGCTGTACTGCTCGCGCTTCGAGCTCTCCACGTGGTCCTGGCTGAGACACAGGTTAACTGGGACCGTCTTCAGCACCTGCACACGGTTCTCGCCTCCGCTCAGAGTGCTCTGGGCTTCGCTGGGGCCGAGGCAGTTTCTGTGTGTTCAGAGCCATGACATGATAAAATTAGAACAAACCATTTTCTGGTGTCTTCTTCAATTTCTTTCTTCAAAGGCCTATAGTTCTTGTCAAATAGATCTTTCACTTCCTTGGTCAGAGTTACCCCAAGATATTTTATGCTATTTGTGGCTATCGTGAAAGGTGATGCTTCTCTGATTTCCCTCTCTGCTTCCTTATCCTTAGTGTATAGGAAGGCAACTGATTTTTTGGAGTTGATCTTTTATCCTGCCACATTACTAAAGGTGTTTATCAGCTGTAGGAGTTCTTTGGTAGAATTTTTGGGGTCGCTTATGTATACTATCATATCATCTGCAAATAACGAAAGCTTAACTTCTTCCTTTCCAATTCGAATCCCCTTGATCTCCTTATGTTGTCTTATTGCTATTGCTAGAACTTCAAGCACTATATTGAAGAGGTATGGAGAGAGTGGACATCCTTGTCGTGTTCCTGATTTTAGTGGGATGGCTTTGAGTTTTTCTCCGTTTAATTTAATGTTAGCTGTTGGCTTGCTGTAAATAGCTTTTATTTTGCATACAAATGGATGGAAATAGAAAACACTATCCTGAGTGAGGTAAGCCAGACCCAAAAAGAGGAACATGGGATGTACTCACTCATATGTGGTTTCTAGCCATAAATAAAGGACATTGAGCTTATAATTCATGTTCCTGGAGAAGCTAAATAAGAAGGTGAATCCAAAGACAAACACATAGGCATCCTCATGAATATTAACCTTCATCAGGCGATGAAAGGAGACAGAGACAGAGACCCACATGGGAGCACCGGACAGAAATCTCAAGGTCCAAATCAGGAGCAGAAGGAGACGGAGCACGAGCAAGGAACTCAGGACCAGGAGGGGTGCACCCACACACTGAGACAATGGGGATGTTCTATCGGGAACTCACCAAGGCCAGCTGGCCTAGGTCTGAAAAAGCATGGGATAAATCCGGACTAGCTGAACATAGCGGACAATGAGGAATACTGAGAACTCAAGAACAATCGCAGTGGGGTTTTGATCCTACTGCACGTACTGGCTTTGTGGGAGCCTAGGCAGTTTGGATGCTCACCTTACGAGACCTGGATAGAGGTGGGCAGTCCTTGGGCTTCCCACAGGTCAGGGAACCCTGATTGCTCTTCGAGCAGATGAGGGGGGGGGACTTGACCGGGGGAGGGGGAGGGAAATGGGAAGCGGTTGCGGGGAGGAGGCAGAAATCCTTAATAAATAAATAAATTAAAAAAAAAATAAACCCTTTCCTCCCCCCCCCCAAAAAAAATTAGAACAAACCTCCACTTTTCAAACCTGATAGATAGTACAACCTTTGCAGGCAGCCATCCTGCTAAACCAGGAGCAGAAGGGCTGGTGGGAACTTCATAATGGGGTGCCGTGGATCTTTGTGTCATTAGAACTAAGACAGCTAAGTATGTGTGCCCCTGAGTGACACAGTGAAGTCTCAACTTTCTATAGAACATACACCCCACTTTTTAAAAAGGTTTAACGGTGACCCCAAATCTGCCCATGGCTTAACAGCTAACATTCAGCTCTGCAGAAACAGAAGAGCTGGGAGACTGAATATCAGAAGGAGCCAGGAAGACATGTCAAGGCAGTTTCCTTATTGGCAAGAGAAATCTATTAACATGTCAGACACAGGAGGAGGGAGGATAGAAGGACCAGTCTAAAGTAAAATTAACTCTTAAAACCTAACTACAACCCTGCATAAGTACAACCTGTACTCCAGGAGGCAGAGGCAGGGGGATCCTCAAGTTCAAGGCCAACATAGCAAGTTCCGGGCCAGCCAGGCCTACACAGTGAAACTGTCTTAATTAAATATAAACTCTGAACATCTAACAATAGGTAGAATTGTGATATTATTTGTTCAAATAAACAAATCAAAAGGAGAAGTATGAAATATTGTGACGTTTGAGGCAGTGACTGAAACTGGATTTGGCAATATTTAATACTGCTAATTTAGTTGTTGGTAAGATTTTATTTATAATAAACTTCATGCCCTTTTTAGAGATACAAATCGGAAGCAAAGATGAAATGACAGTGAAATTTAAGGTGTTTGAGGAGAGCACGGTGGCTAACAGGAAAACAGAAAGACTGTGGTTGCTACCCTGCACGGGGATGGCGATAGGGCTCGTGGCTCCGTTCTCTGTTGATGGGTGCAAACTCTTCAAAGGGAAAAAGATCACCATGGTGACTCATGCATGCAATCCCAGCAACTGGGAGGTTAACTCTGAAGCCAGCCTGGGCTACTTACTGAGTTCCAGGCCAACCTGGGCTATCATCAAGTGAAACCTTGTCTCAGTCAGAGAGAGAGAGAGAGAGAGAGAGAGAGAGAGAGAGAGAGAGAGAGAAGGAGGAGGAGGAGGAGAAGGAGAAGGAGGAGGAGGAGGAGGAGGAGGAGGAGGAGGAGGAGGAAGAAGAAGAAGAAGAAGAAGAAGAAGAAGAAGAAGAAGAAGAAGAAAAGAAAAAGAAAGACAAGACACGGCAATTTGAAGGGTTAACAGGAAGGATATTTTTTACATTTTGTGAAACAAAGTAAAAAATGATCATTATACTTTCATCAGCTAAGAAATAACAGTTCAGGGACAGTCCTGTATTTATTACTTTAGGGGTTTAAGAAAGTGCTTACGGTGGGCGGGGGTGGGGGGGGGTGGGGGGGGGTGGTGTAAGTACCACGACTGTGGTATAGAGAAAGAAAGCGGTCCAGAAAGGTAAGTTTTGGCAGGATATAATGAGATACTTTTTAAAAAATGATCTTAACAGAGGCCCTCTGCTCGGTTAAGCTTGTGAAAAGGGAATTTGTGTATGGCTTTCCAGTACACAGAGAAGAGAAAGTACGAGGTTTTATTGACCCTCTTCTTTGTTCATTGTGATGTGAACTGAGTTACTTTTATCTAGCATGACCTTCAAGGGGTCAACTGGCATATTTTGTTGAAAGAAATAACTGTTTGGATAAAGTTGGTTTTCTCAAGAATCAAGCTCTCCCAGTTTCTCTCCATAAAGGATATGCAAGAGTCTCTGCGCTTACCTACCAAGCAAGAGGTGACGATTGTAGCTGTGAATTTTCAGCAAGAACTTCAAAGGAAAGCTTCAGAAAGAAGGACTCTCCATAAACCAAGCCAGCAGAAAGATTCGCGAGTAGCTGAGGCTATCACGGATATGCAGCAGTGACTCTAAAAATTAACTTCCTGAAGAATACACTCTATAGGTCTACAGACATGGCTTTAAGCGCTAAATTGTTCTCGTGGCCAAATAACAGAGTGATCACACGGAAGACACAGTGAAGGTCTAGACATGTTTGAAATGACTCCAACGAGCCAAATGATGTCAAAGTTCAAGCCACCCATTTGATCAGCATTTCATAAAAGCCCCGTTCCGAATACTCCATGGAATGTTAATGGATGCTCCGTGAAAAGAGGAACCCATTATAAAAATCAGAGTTAGAAAACAAACAGGGACAAACTATGTTTCCATAACAAGACCACCTTAGTGGATCCAAGCAAGACTCAATGAACGCCCTTGGGCGTTCCGTCATCTCTTTTGCTGTAGTCTAGGACTTACTAACCCATTTCACCCAGGACCATCAACACTGAAGGCGGGCTGCAAATGGGCTCTTCAACCAAACTATAACATGGCAATGGCCCCTTAGCCACCTGAGACCCAGCACACACGGTACTACTGGCTTGCCAAAAGATTCTTATCTCTCTTTAGTCTATTTCAAGCCAGATTTCTTCATTCTCTGCTTATTATAAGAACGTGAATTTTAGGCAAAAAGCCCAAGTCAAAATATCTTTCAGTGTTCTTATTATTAAGTAAATAAGCAAATTACAGAGCTATACAAACCTAGTCAAATTGTTCATATAAAAATTCATAGATTCCTCTTTGGCCTCGGCGGCAAGATGAGGAAAGAAGTGTCATTGGAAAGCACAGCCATAAGACGCACACCTTGTGCTGCCAGTGTGGCTCCAAGGCCTGCCACCTTCAGAAAGAGTCAACCAGTGGCAAATGTGGCTTCACTGCCAAGTGCGAGAGAAATTAGGAGATGAGGCACCTAAAAATTGTCTATTGAAGATTTGGACATGGTTCCTATGAAGGGATCCGTGAGGATCCCAAGAAGGCAGCTGTTGAAGTATCCAGCTCATCTTGAGGATTTCAATTCATCATAACATAAATGTTCTAGTTTCAAAAAAAAAAAATTCGTAGATTCAGGAAGACTTAATGCCACAGAATTTCAAAAATACAACTCCCCCAAAGTGGGGGCAGAGACGAGACAGGTGATTCGTGGGGCAACAGCTGAGCAAAGCATTTAGTCCCTTCTGGACCCCTTCTTCACATAATCCTATCAGAAGAGAAGGGACCCTGCAGTCACTCCAGACTGCGACAGCAGGCATGAAATCCTGCTGAGACAGGACGTCACAACCGAAAGGTGACAAGCTACACATGCCAAGAGACATCCTCCACCTGGCTTCATCAGAAATAAGTCGTGATTGCCCCTTTCTGTCTTCCTGTCACCCAGCTCCTTAGCTCCACTGGGTGGCATACGATCTCCTAACATCTGGCGGCTGCTGGCAGCCACTCAGAGTCTCTACCAGTCACCTCTCTGGGCTCAGTACTGCGTTTCCCTCACCTAGGGAATCCTTGGAGAGTCTCATTCCCTAAGGACGGGACTGCAGGAGAATGTGAGACTAAGCAGAGACTGCAATCAGCAGCAGCCTCTTCATGGCTACCACCCTGAGCTCCTCATGAGCGCCTCATCTGAGGGAACTTGCTGATGACCCTCTGGATGCACAGGAAAACCTGCCTTTTCCTAGCAAGAGATCAAGATTTGGTCCAGACTCCCAAAAGACAGACGAAAACAAGGCTTTGACCCTACCTCTTTTAAAAACAAACTTCCAGCTCAAGTTATACTTGTGATCTAATTTTATGTGCATCAATGGTTTGCCTACAGGCACCTATGGGTAGTGCTTGCACGCCAGGGACCCATGGAGATCACAAGAGGGTAACAGAGCCCCCGAAACTGGAGTTAGGAAGATTGTGAACCACCATGTGGGTACTGGGACTCAAACCCAGGTCCTGAGCAAGAAAAACAATTGCTCACTGAGTCTCTCTACAGGCTGTTTGGGGGGTGGGCAGTTTTTGAAGACAGGGTCTCTCTATGTATTCCTGGCTGTCTAGAAACTCAATATGGCCTCATCCTCAGAGATCTGCCTTCCTCTGCTTCCCAAGGGCTGGGGTCAAAGGTGTGTGCCATTGTACCTGGCTATCTTTTGCAACAAACATAGAAAAGGAGTCATTTCTAGGGGCAAATGTATTCCCTTACGTGGATCGTACCTTTTATCCTGGTCTTCTTGGCTGTCGCTTGCTTTGCTCACAGACAGAAGTCTCTTGTCTCGAGGAACCTGGAAATCAACAGAGAACTGTCAAACTCAATGACCACATGCAGAGGAAGACACCAACACAGACAAAGAGGCGCAATGGAACTCTCTGAAGAAGTAGAAGGTTACTGTTGGGAAATGATGAATGAGTAGCCTGGGTGGAAGCGGAGACAGAGGGGTGACCAGTGCTCGTCCATGCTAATCGTGAGTCAGCTGACCCAAGAGATGCTCCTATGTGTCCCAATCTCTGCAACAGGTGAGACAGAGTCATGTGTATGGGGTGAAGATAGGCATGAAAGAAAGGAAACCATTGAGAAACATGGAGTAAGCTTCCTCTCTGGAGCTGGACACCAGGTGCTCACAAGAGCGTGGGGAAGGTCCTGGGTGGGACTTGGTGGTTGAACGAGTCAGTTAAAGAGCATCTAATAGAAGTACTCCATAACCCCTGGCTAAGAAGCTGTCTTCAGTCTTTCTAATGCATTTCATTCCTAAGCATGACGCCAACATATCACCAGACACATTACTGAAAATTCTGAGTAAAGGGAGACGCCACCCCATCCAGACATATGCATAGTAAATGGTTTGGATTTGGTTGCATTGGTAGAGTCTTTGCATTTGATTTGGGACTTGTTTGTTTGTGGGTAACTTTGAAGAGCTTCTTCTTAGCCAACAGTATCAGTGAGATAAACACACCGACGGGAAGGATATAAATAGGCTCCTCTAGGAACTCCCATGGCTTCCACTCAGCCAAATACATTTACAAGCTGAGTTGGCTGAACTAAGAGAGGGGTAAAAGTCATTAGGAAGTTGGAAACCTAAAGTTTGACCACTCAAGTCTAAGTCAGACTCAGTCCTGTGTTCCTCATCTGTAAACTGGACTTCCTGATAATTCTGAACTCAGAGGTCTGTGGTGGGGTTGGAGCTCTGTGTCCAAGCACTCAGGTGCGGCTGGTACTTTCTGCAGGTAAGCCAGCTATAAGGTCTCCGTTCATCCTTCCTGCAGGAGACGCGGGGTCAGCACACTTGCTGTCTTATCTCCTCCTGTGACATCGTCTGCCATGTCACCATGCTGTAAGAAGGCCCTGGCCAATCACCAGTGCTATGTGCTTAGATCCTCCATCCTCCAGAGTCATGAGCAAAACAAACTTCAACACTTTATGAATTATCTGGGGTATTCAGAAATGGAAAATGGACTCAGACATAAGCTAAACCGTCTTTTAGGTATTTATCTAACTCAATCTGTTATGTTTTTCAGGCATGTTTAAAATGCATGGAAAGGTCATACTTAACTTTGGAGGAACTACTGCTGCTGGGAGTCCTTAGGAGGCCATCACTTAAAGAAAAGGACGTGATTTGGGTGTCCAGTAAGTTTTGTGCAAACTCTCTACCCTGTATCTCACAATATTCACTGATAGATTTGAGCTTGAGTCATGATGTTTATGTACATGCAAGAGGAGATAACGCAGCCAGTCCCCTATTTCCCAACATCCAGCTGCCCATACTCAGTCCCTGAGTCTCTGATCCTGTGGTGTTGTGAGGGCCAGAGTTATATTACATGATTTAATTACTGTGCCTCAGCGATCCATGAAACAAAAATGCCCCTGATCTGAAGCCATTTGCCCCAGGACAGACAGCTCCTGGAAGGCTGGAGGCTGCTGTTTACAGGAGATTATCAAGCCACATTCTCATTCCCCTAAACAAGTTTGTTGGACCCATCTGCACCAGGTGTGCTTGATCACATGTGAGGGAGGTATGTGGGCAGGAAATGTCAGGATGTGTGCTTGCCAGATTGACTGGCAGGAGGAAAGCAGGCAGGAAGTACATCAGGATATATACTTGCCCCTGATTGGACCTCGTGGGAAATGCCCTGCAAATCCTGACTCAGGGCCATTTCAGAGAACCAGGTAAGGACCTGGCCAGAGCCCACCAACCTGGCAAGTATTTAAAGCGTGCTTCAGATTTGGCTTTAAGGTGTGGCGGTTGTCTTATTCTCTACCAATGGGATCAACAGTAAACCTGGTATTAATGACTAATTTACTTGGTCTCAAGGTTAGCCAATCTTTTGTACTAACACAAACCAAATATGCTGCCAAATACAGGTAACTGAAGTTATGTCCACTCACAACAATAGTTCTGTCTGACAAAACAGGGCAAGGGAGACGTCATAGGAGGCAAAGTGCAGCACGGGCCTTGCGACCTGAGTTGGGCCCCCAGAACACAAAGGCTCACATTTCTAACGCCAACATTCTTGCTGTGAATTTGAATTTAGAGGTAGAGACAGGACAAGCAGCCAGGAGCCCTAAGCCAGCTAGCCTGGAGTAAGCTGCAGAGATGCACAAACAAGAGACCTGCCCCCCACACCCTGTCTCTCAAACACACACTAAATAAAATCCAAAAAAAATTAAAAATAAAAAAATAAACATATTAATATATTTCTTTTTTTCTTTTTTTTTCTTGTTTTTTTTTTTTTTTTTTGGTTTTTCAAGACAGGATTTCTCTGTAGCTTTGGAGCCTATTCTGGAACTAGTTCTTATAAGACCAGGTTGGCCTCAAACTCACATAGATCCACCTGTCTCTACCTCCCGAGTGCTGGGATTAAAGGCATACGCCGCCACCACCATCAGCTGGCTTAATATATTTCTTTAAAGCCTTTTAAAACGACTAATTGTCATACTGGTCATAAACGTCAGAAGAAATTATCTTGACCTGAACACTTAAAACAGGAACATCTGAATGATGTGTCAATCAATTTTTCATTGCTAAAACTGTCAAATGTTGACTATTTTTCTGCAATAAGGAAAAGGTGCCTATCCACTTCTCTCTGAGCAACAGACTGAAAACAAGCCAAAAGAACGCCCAGGGATCCCGGGCCTTGAACTCAGATCAGCCTGCTTCTGCAGCTCCACCGCTGAGATTAAAGGTTTGCCAACCATGCTCGGCTCCATTCTTGTGTTTCACAGTGAACTCTTCAGTCAGAAAAGATGAAGAGAAATCACAAACAGAAAAGAAGAACAAACAAAGCTACCAAGTCTGTCCTTTCTCTGCATCCTGCCATCCAGGCCTGCATCCCCTGGCAGTCCCTTCCTGATGTATCACCAGTCACGCTGGCTTCTTTAAAGCTTCAAGAAAAAGCTATCGGTGCCTGTGAACACATCCTTCCTGGGTAAGGAGGAGAAAGCCAAGCTAGACGAGCAAAAGTCCCCATGAGATAACCTAGAGCTTCCTGATAAAGGATGCATTTACTTGAGGGAATAATGTGCTCAGCTAAAATGCCCCGGCGGGCCTACCTGTACCCTCCATGCCCGTCCAACACCTTGCTCTCTGTCTTAGGTGAGCACTCAGACGCAGAGACCCAAGGTCAAATTCTTGTTCTCGGTGCTTTCGTCCAAAAGCTGATCTCCCCATGATGGAAGGTGAATGAGAGAGAGGTGGCAGTCAGCTTCCAACCAGCAAGTCGACACTCCCACCACGCTGCATTAGCTAAAAACATCTCCAGCCAGTGCAGCCACAAATGTTCCTCATTTGCTAAATAAAACACGTGTCGATCTTCCCCGTGTCAACAGTTCTCAGAGGGCAGATCACAGCTCTTCACACTTAAAACCACTTGTTTCTTGTTTAACTTCCTGCGATACTCTTACTTTAAAAAATGTCCGGCCAGAATTTCTTCTCATGTTACATTCAGTTTTAAAGACTTTTTCAAAATGAAAACAAATGGACACAGTCAGGAGGTGGATTTGCTGAAGGTCCCTCCCTGAGTCCCCAAAAAAGAGGCATCTAGGGGGCCCAAATGTTTCTCATTAAACTGAAAAACCAAGAGACGAGTAAATGCTGATGGCTGAACAACAGCTAATCATGGCATAGTCACGTAGAGTGAAGCTCCTAACCAGAAAGCAAAAGGTCGCAGAAGGGAAATAAGCAACAGTCCAGCTCTAGCGGATCTGACACGCTCTTCTGACTTCTGAAGGCACACATACACACACACATGCGCACAGACACAGATATATAGATATATAGACAATTTTTTATTAATTTTTACTGAGCTCTACATTTTTTCTGTTCCCCTCTCACCCTCTCCTCCCAAGGTCCCCATGCTCCCAATTTGCTCAGGAGATCTTATCTTTTTCTACTTCCCAAATAAATATTTTTTTTAAAGAAATAAGTATCCCTAATTTAAATTTCTGAGTAGAAATAAAGTTGGGTTTCATGAAGGAGGGACAACACAAAAAGAAGAATTCCACCAAAGTCCCCTGGTAAGAACCGGTCGCATCTTGCCATGGATAAAATGCAGCCTTGGAGGCAGAGGGAGGAGGAGGCCGCTCGGAGACCCACCTTGTAATAATCGTAGAGAAGGCCAAGGGCAGCAGCGCTGTCCTCATCCCCATTGATGCTCATCATGGCCTTGGTGGCCGCAGTCAGGGGGTTCTCCAGGTATGACTTCCAGGCTTCATCCTCGCTGGTGTAGGCTCTTCGGCTATTGAACGGAGGGTCACTGGGCATGGGCACCAAGGCCACTAGTCTTTTATTACTATAAGAACAAGAAAGACGTAGGTTCATTAACAGGAACTTTTCCATTTCCCCTCTGATCCTGTATGTGTCATGTGGTTATCCGGGTTTGTATTCCCCTAGAGAAAGACGGGAGCGACCACCACGTTGCACTTAGCCCCAGCGTCCATCGTCCCTGGGCACAGGAGTGGTGACAGCTTTTTTAAAGGTGCTGTGGGGACAGCTCGGGGCTGCAGAGGGCGGACTGCTCTTCAGAGGACCCAGGTTCAGCTCCAGAACCCATCAGGAACCGCAGTACCGGAGAGTCACTCTGTGGCCTCTGAAGGAAACGCCACTCACGTAGCACACGTAAGCACATAAACTCTCCGACACAGACACACACGCACACGTAAATAAGTATTTTTAAGGGTAGTATATCCAGTCAGTTTATGCTGCTCTCCTTAAAACTTAGCTTTCTGTGTCTAATCATCCTGAATAACTTAATTATTCTTCGTTAATGAGCACTAGAATGAAAGCCTGTGAGAATAATTTCCTTTAACTAAATTCTAATTTAAAACATTATTAGTCACAAATAATCAATAGGTCAATGGTTCAAACTGATTTTTCAGATAATTTAATCTTGCTTGAAATTGGTAGGGCACTATAGACCAATCTTAACATCTTCATGGGAACAGCAACATAGGTACTTGGCAAACAGTACACATTGACAGATAACGCTCTGTATCAGAGCTGTGGAGGACAGGAAGAAATGGGCTCTACATGTAAATACATCTGCTGCAGGATTCTGTCAAATTAAGATGACATGGAAGCATTAGGAGTGAGGAAACCAATGGCATACCTAAGGAATTTCCCCAAGAGTCCGTGAGTAAATTAGTGCCAACCAGGTCAACCTTGTGTAGAGCAGCAATCTACAAGGCAGCGTCTTATGGTCAGTATGACAGAGACTCAAATACCCAAAGACCATGACAGTCCCCTGCAAACTCCCCATGGCGGACCCAACGTGTCAAGTAACAGAGTCTGGAGTCATTCATTTCTTGGCCCTTTCTCCTTGTTCACTGAAAGGGAACCAAGCGGAACAAGGATACTGTGTCCAGGCAACACCTTCTCTGACACACGGTCCCCTGGCATGGATAGGTGGGTGGTAATGCCAGTGACGGAAACAACAACAATCAATGGAAACTCAGCCACCTAGACCTTCTGGTGGTCATGAAGTTCCCAAAGACAACCCTGAGAATCTCCTGATGGTTGGTGTTCTCTGACTCGTTTTGTGACAGACCAGTGTGAACTCCCCAAGAACAGTGTATCAAAGGACCTTTGTGTGGGGTCCAAAAGCCACACAATTTGAGTTGCTACAAAGTATTTGAGCTGGGGTGGCACAGGTGGGAAGTAACTCGTATCAGGCGGACTCTTAGAGCTACAGTCTCCCGGCCCACTTGAGCTCTCTGTGGTGGTGATTTCATGGAACCCACTGGGGAGAAGGAATACTGGCTACACCGCAAATAACAATTCAGAGTGGACTGTCCCGTTTCTTCGGAGTGAGACAAATGCCTACGGATGATTAGGCAGTGGAGTGACAGGGAGTGACACGGCTCTGGAGGTGCTTGCCCAGTGGCCCATGGTGAACGAGAAGTGAGCAAACACCCGTGTTTGCTCCTCCTGCCTTAAGTAGGGTTAGCAATGCCCACCTGCCTGCCTCATAGCATGGAAATGATTGACAACTGGGTCCTCGGGAGGACGCAGGGCTCTGAGACTAAGTGGCACTGCCACTGTCATACTCTTCTGTGTTCCTATCCGTTTCTGTGCCTTTCAGGCTTTGTTAAAGTTGATTCTGATTTATGAAGGGTAAACCTATTATCACTAATTAAAGGGAAAGCAGACTTGCTCATCTGACACTTGCTTTTCCACAGGCTTTGTTGGGAGCCCGATGGGCGGCACCTGTGCTATTGAACGCGGAGGGATGAACAGGACACTGTCACCCACAGGGCCTAGCAGACACCTGGAGAACCACTTTCTGCAAGGGCTGTGATAAGGAGACACTTGCTGATCCTGATGACAGGAGGAGAGGTGGGAAATATTTTTAAACTAATATATTTCATCATTCAGGATGAATATTTTTATAAATGAAGTATATTTATACTCGTGTTAGAAAGTCCAATAGAAAAACTCTCTTTTTCTGAAAAAAATTTCATAGTATTTCCACTTTGTAGAAAATGACTGATGACGGAGGGTAAGTCCATGTGCAGGCTGGGAGTGTAGTAATAAGGGGCGGCAGGGCTGCGTTCTCAGCACCCCGGCCGCCCGCTCGGCTAGCTTATGCCCCAAAATAATTACACAGACACTGTATTCTTTTAAGCACTGCTTGGTCCATTCTCTTCTAGGCTAATTCTCACATGTTAATTTAACCCATTTCTAATCATCTGTGTATGGCACCCCAAGGTGCACTTACCAGGAAGATTCTAGCCTATGTCCATCCTGGGTCGGAGCTTCATCCCGGGAGCGGGGCATGGCGTCTCTCTCTGAGGCGTCTGCTCCCAGGAGGAGCTGTGGAGTCTCTGACCTCACTTCCTCTTCCTCCCCGTGTTCTGTCCTGTTTTCTCCTCCCACCTATCCTCTAACCAATAAAATGGGCCAGGGCAGTGCCTTTATTAGCCAATGACCTTCCTCCATCATTTCCCCTTTTTCGGTTTAAACAAAAAAAAAAGGCTTTAACATAGCAAAATTACATATAACAAAACAGTTATCAAGTAAAAGTTACAATAATCTTTATCATAACTAAGGAAAACTATAACTATAACTAACTATTTTTAACTCCATCAAAGACTCCAGAAAGATATAATATTACCTAAGTAAACAAGAACTAAGAAACCTCAAACTCTAGAAATGACAAAGACATCTCGCTGCCTGGACAGTCACCCAAAGTTCTTTTGTACCGTTGGGGCATCCATCTTCAGCCTTTAGGCCCATGGTATCCAGCAGACATTTCCATAAAGCAGGAAAATTTAAAGTCAGTTCAGTCACTATCTGTTGTGTCCTGCAGAATGTCTCGCAGACTCTTTCAAAATGAATCAGGAACCCCAAAAGATCATCTCAGCTTAGGCAAGTTCAGTAGTCCTCTCTCTGTGGGTTCTCTGTGTCCAGTTTATGCAATAGTCCAGGCAAGAGCAGTTTCTTGACCAAATGGCTATCAAAACTCCATAACGAGCCTCTTCGATGCCCATCTTCCTCTTGAAGTAGATTGGTGCTGCCAGGAGCAGAGTGTCTCATTGTCATGAAAAGTCCTCAGTTATTAAAACATTAAATGTCCTATTCTGTAATCTTTGAAAGACATGAAGAATGTCTATCTAACTGAAATACATCTCTATATATCTAGAAAATCTAACTAACATGACTACAAGCTTTACTATTATCGATGATTATCCATTAACAACCTATATTTCTTAATTATACTGTACATATTTAAATGAACTACACAATCACAATACCTTAATCAAAATCAGAAACACTTATACATATAACAAAATTGACCTTAAATCTCTATCAATAAAGCAAAATCTATACTAATGCAAATTATTCATATCTATATCATATCCCCCTTTAAATGTAAAAGAACATTTATAAACATTTTTTGGGAATATGGGCGCAGTTATTTCTCTCCAAACTGCTTCCTGCTGAATGGGGGCGTCGTTAATTAGGTCTTTCATGGTATAACCTGTGTGCTAGTTTCATCTCAGTTGTTATGTGGAAGCAGTTGTCCACGTGGGCGCCATATGAAGTAATAAGGGTGGCGGCAGGGCTGCGTTCTCAGCACCCCGGCCGCCCGCTCGGCTAGCTTATGCCCCAAAATAATTACACAGACACTGTATTCTTTTAAGCACTGCTTGGTCCATTCTCTTCTAGGCTAATTCTCACATGTTAATTTAACCCATTTCTAATCATCTGTGTATGGCACCCCAAGGTGCACTTACCAGGAAGATTCTAGCCTATGTCCATCCTGGGTCGGAGCTTCATCCCGGGAGCGGGGCATGGCGTCTCTCTCTGAGGCGTCTGCTCCCAGGAGGAGCTGTGGAGTCTCTGACCTCACTTCCTCTTCCTCCCCGTGTTCTGTCCTGTTTTCTCCTCCCACCTATCCTCTAACCAATAAAATGGGCCAGGGCAGTGCCTTTATTAGCCAATGACCTTCCTCCATCATGGGAGTGTCTGTGAGCAGAAGAAATGAGACCTGGGGGAGAAACCAGAAGAACGGGGGTCCTGTGGTGGTGGTTTATTTGGGCCTCCCATGTCTGTTTCACTCAGAAAGTGAAACAGAAAACTGAGTACAGTTGTTCTCAGGAGAGTCACTCAGCGCAACAGTGAAAAAGGGAGACTTAGAAAAAATTCCAAAATTTAAACTTCGAAGCATGGTTTCGGGTGTGAATTGCTCATGTGTCATCGAAAGAGTGGAAATTCTGAGGCTTAACCATCGTATCCTAGGAGAGCCATGCTTGCCATAGCTCGCTGGCTGTCAGAAGGAACAGACCGTGCTGCCGTTGCCTGAAAAGAGCAGGGCGGCTGTGCGGAGGGCGTGGCTCGCACTGGCTCTCTGCCAAGACACTTAGCAGGAAGTGGTGGCCCCATTGCTGCACTGATTTTTCTTGACTCTTCCTCCTTAGCTCCCAGTTTCTTCCTGTTGACTCCAACTCATCCTGGCCCAGTTGTTGGGGACTTTAGGGCTTACCCAGTATTTCCCCTAGGAGGAACCTGCTGGTAAATCCTTGCATGGCTAAGGGGGTGGGGGGAATTCTGGAAATCACAATTCCTTTCCACTTTTTTACTTTATTTTTGATAACATAAAAGGGTCCTTTTATGCTCTCCCTTTTAACTGTGTGATGTCTTTGCTTTATTCTTCAGAGATCATGGTCTATCTGATACAGAACACTGCAGAATGAAGTTTGATCTGATAAAAACAAAGTCATTTCTCTGATACGCTGAGAACTAGTGGACGGAAATGAAAGTGCACGGAGCAGCATTTACTAGCCAGAATGTTCTTTGTTTTGGTGCGTGTGTTTTAAGAGGTGCTTTCTAAAGGTTTACCTAAAGCTTTATCACCATTCACCAGGAAAGACAGTTCAAATTCAGTTTCAGTCAATTCCTACAGGATTTCTCTCTGTAGCCCTGGCCAGCTGGAACTGGCCTTGAATTCAGAGAGCAGCCAGCCTCTGCCTTGGAGTGCAGGGATTAAAGCCTGAGCCTCTGCTGGGCTTGCTTCAATGAGTTCTTTTTTTTTTTTAAGATTTTTTACTATTTATTTATTTATTATGTATACAATATTCTGTCTGTGTGTATGCCTGCAGGCCAGAAGAGGGCACCAGACCCCATTACAGATGGTTGTGAACCGCCATGTGGTTGCTGGGAATTGAACTCAGGACCTTTGGAAGAGCAGGCAGCGCTCTTAACCTCTGAGCCATCTCTCCAGCCCTTCAATGAGTTTTTAATTGTCTTGTAAAGCCTCAGGGTTCACAATCTGGGCCGCCTAGCACACACTCTGAGCTGATGTGAACTTGACCTCTGGGTCCCTCTTGGAGGAAAAACAAATGCAGGCGAGCAGCAGAGTGTTCACACCACTCTTGTTTCCTCTGGCGAGCAGCAGAGCGTTCACACTGCTCTTGTTTCCTCTGGCGAGCAGCAGGGAGCAATTTGTGAGGACACTGCCTGAGAAGTGTGTGTGTGAACTGAAATCTAATGCGCTCACAACAGTTGTAAGGGACTTTCACGGCTATCTACTTTTCCAGCTTTAGAACAGTTTGGGTATTGGTGTCAGATGACTTCGGGAGAGCCTCCCACGAAGTGCAGGGTCTCAGACACTGTTCTACAGCTGGGAAGGGACACCTGGACCACAGCAAGGCTTACAAAGGAAAGCATGTCATTGGGG